TCCAGTTGTGTGAATGTAAAGAAAGAATCCTTTTTTATTGTAGTAAGTTACATATAAAATTAGCCAATTTAATCCTTTTAAAGTGTATAGTTTGGTGTTATTAGTGCCTCCCAGTGTTGTACAGCCATCACCACTGTCTAGTTACAGATCTCTTTCATCACACCATAAGGATATCCTACTACTCTCCATTACTCCCATTACTCCCACCACTTATGTTAACCGCACCAGTTTAATCTGTAATCAGAAGACTTCCAAATTCTTTGTGTCCTGCGTGGAAGAATCCATGGCAGGACATGTGGGTGTAAATGGAGTTTATTAAAAGTAAGGGAAGGGAAATACAAAAGGGAGTATGATGGGCACAGGTGGAATCTGGAGGCAGAGACAGCTTGCTTCTCTTTCTCAGGTACTTTTAAAACTTACGCTAATCTATGGGAAGGGAGGAACCAGGTAGGTGATTCCCATCCAATAATCAATGAGTGAGGAGGGGCTTGGGTGGTTCCTGGCCAGGTGAGGGTGGTCTGGGCCATCCCTGAGCCAGACATGGGCAACCTACATATGAGTCCCGAGCGTTCCTTACTTCTAGCCTGCCTCGCTTGGACCCCAGTGCCCACTTCTCTTTTTTCTGTCTCTATGGATTTACCTCTTCTGGACATGTCATATGAATGGGATCATACAATATGTAGCACTCTCCCCCACCTCCCCATATCTGGCTTCTTTCACTTAGCATCATAATTTGTTTTCACTTGGTGCTCTTTCTCTTCCTAGGGTCAGACCTGCACCAGAGCACTGGCTAAGGGTGGTTTTGGAGAACCATTACCACTTCTCTTGGCAGGATTCCTTGTCACCTTCAAGGATAACACTTGCCTGCTATCTTCTTCCTCGGTGTAGGTCCTCTGCCCTCTGTGCACCTATCAGTTCAGCTTCTGCAGTTCCCAGACATGTCCAGAGCTGTGTAGACATTGCCAGTGAATAAGAGGTTTTATAATTCTGTCCAGCAGCCTCTCAAACTCTGTCTACCACTTTGCTAACTGGGCCCACATATGCTCAAACATGAAAAGTCCAAGAAAATACTAGAGTAGGGGTCCCAGCAAGAGTAATTATAATAAAATGATGTCATCCTGGGTATAGCTGAGGGTGTTGCTAACAGTCAAAACTCCCTTAGTATTTGATGACCATTCTCCTGCTGTACCTTAGTAAGTATAGAGTACACTTTTATTTCTCCAGAATCTTTCATGGACTTCCTTTTAAATGGCAGGTACAATGAGCCCTGTGTATCCTTGGATTCCACATCAGCAGATTCAACCAACTATAGGTCAAAAGAATTTTTTTTAATTCCATCTGTACTGAAAACTATAGATTGTTTTCTTATCATTATTCCCTACACAACACAGTATAATAACTAGCTATGTAGCATTTATATTTTATTAGGTATTATAAATAATCTAGATGACATAAAGTATGTGGGAGAATTCTATAGATTACATATAACATTTTTACATAAGAGACTTAAGCATCTCTGGGCTTGGGTATCTATAATTGTCCTGGAACATGGAACCAATCCCAGTGTTTCTAAGGGATAACAGTATTTAGGGCATGTTTCCATCCGATATAATGCTGCTATCTCTGGCGGTCTGGCCCTATTTAAATGTAGGGTTTACTGGGGAAACTTCTAACAAACATTCAAAATAAGAAAAACTTTCTAATTTACAGTTGAAATGTCAGAATTGAACAGATGGCAAAATGTAGGATTCATGGCTACTCCTTTCTCATATTAAATTATTTATCTGGGAAATTTCAAGCCACAAGATTTGGCAGTACTCTCTTCTCTCTAGGAAATTCAGAGTATAATGGAATTCTGTTTTGTGTTTCCTTCTCAAAATTGCAAGTTTCTACATTTTCAAGATCTATTTTTGTGTGTCTCTTCTTTCATAGCTCTGTTATTGTAGTTAAATTTCACATTTAACATTGACCTATGCAGTAATCAGACATAAAGGAAAGAATCATAAAAGGCCATAAACACCAGGCAAGAAACAAAAATCTTTAATCTTCCATGCCCAGGGTCAGAGTTTTACCCCAAAAAGCATTGTTTTATTCACAAACATTCTTTGTAGTTCAACTATGTCCTTGAACCTTCATAACTTTACAATTCTAATTTTTTTATTCTTCTGTACATATTTCACTATGCTTTTTAAAATGAATCATTTAGGGATAACACATTTTCATATTTTTGCTTTCATTTTCATATGATTGGGGTAGATGACTTTGGTGTTTTTTAGATCAAAGTTATATTCTTGTACATTCCTTCCTGCTTTTCTTTGTATCCACTACTACTACATACCTGAACACATTTTATTTTTCCATCAATTTTAATTTTTTTGGTCACGGATGCCAAATTAGTTTATGCAACTCAAAGGGGTTTGCTTAGGTTTATGCCTTTCTAGTCAAGCTGCTGTTATGGGAAAGAAATATTCAAGGCACAGAAACTTACAGATATAAGGCATCGAAGACACATTTGAGACCCTGCCTCATTAGTAAGTTAGGGTCTGTTGCACCTTCTCCTCTGCCAATATCTATCTGCCAATATTCCCCAGTCTTTCCTGTTTCTAAATGCTGATTTAGATAAATGCTTTTCTAACCAAAATGAAACAGTATGGTATTTAAGTCAACCATGAAAATAAGCACTGGCATCTGTGCCCCCACTTGAAAGAAGTCCAAACAGGTTTGATTTGAATCAGGGAGGAGACTAGATATAATTAGGTTCCCAAAGTCTCTAACTCCACCAAAAGGAGAGGTCAAATCCTACTCCCCCCATCTCTCCAGCATCAGATTATATGAGAATTGGGAGGTAGAATTGAGATGGGATCCTGAGATCTAATAAAAAGTGATTTGATATGATAAGAAGAGAGAGGGATAACGGAAGCTAGATCTTCCTCTGCAGGTTCCAATGAAGGGAAGGATGACAGGGTAATTTCTAGTCTATGTCTACTTCCAGGATAATAATTATAAGCCTCGAGCACACTGTGTTTACCTGCAGGGTAAGACAACCGTGCAGGGTTTAAATAATCTCGAGCGATTCAATGCCCAGTGAAGACTCACTATCCAACTGGCATCACGGATGCCCTACATGGCATCTGGAATAGAATTGGTATTTGGTCCCTGGAGTAGTCAAGCTATCATTTCACCAACATAGCTATACCTTCTTTGAAAACAAATCTGAATTTGGTGTATGAAATCTGACTTACACAAAGGTTAATGAGAGGATCCATCTTTCTGCCATCTTCACTAGGCAGGCTCTCTACCTTTGCTATGGTTTAAGTCATGCAAAAATTCCTAGATCCTCAGTTCAGGCAGTTATTCTCATCATTGTCCTTCAGAAGTGTCACCTAGGTCTTATTGTTTCCTGGGTGTTTTCCCAGCATGGGATAGCCTCTTTCTGTACTCTCCAGAGCTCCCTCTGTCATGTCTTACATCTGAAATGAATGTTGCCTTGGTCTCTATCCAGAGAGACTCCCTCTCCTGATTCTCCTAGCCCTTTGGTCACTTTTATACTATTGACCATTTAGTCAATTACCCGATATGCATCAAGCATCTTCCTCAGCAGGACTCTGTAATAGGTAACTCCAAACTGGGTTATTCTTTTGTAAATTAATATTATTTCCCCCAATAGACTGTATGCTCTGTGAATCCTACCACTACCTGCATTTGATAAATCTTACAAAATGGTTTTACCTTATGAAAATAGCAAATGGTTAACTTTCTTACAGAGAAAGTCCTTCAGATGCCCTCAATATACAGTTCAATGCACACATATTTTTCAAGAACATATGTGTTGTATAAAGGCAGATAGATCACATGCCATATCATACTGCTTTTAAGTGAGAATTTTTAAAAATAAGGATTAGTTTAATGTTGCAAATGAGAATTATTGCCTTTGGAATCTTGACTAATTCTAGGTAAGAAAGAAACAGGAAAACTTTGCAATCAAATCCTATAGGTTATATCTACTTGTCCATGGATTTGTTACAAGGCTTTTAGACTAGGATTAGGCAAAGAAGGAAGTGAACTTGGCTATTAACTATGATTTCTAAACCATGCCTTGGCTTCCTGCTGCAGATAGCTCCATGCTATGTGGCAGATGAGAATGAATTTTGTGTGTTCAGTACTAACAAACTCCAACAAAAGAGTTGGAGCTGCACCTCCAACTCTTACCTTTCACATAACAAGAAAATCTTGAAAGATGATTTTATTCTCTCAGTTTATTGCCTATTCTTGAGGAGCTAATTTGTCCAATCATCATACTGTATAGTTCTCAGTCACCTACCAAAATCCTTTTAATTTGGGAACTCTGTCTCTTTGATAGGCAGGCAAAAAAAAATAAAAATCAGACATAGACTTTTGACTCTGCAAAACGAGAAGCATGTAGTATCTTTAAAGTTAAAAAAAAAAGCACACATTGTAGAAAACTAAGATGTCTAGGCAAATCGATGGTGGTCTGAAGTAGCAAGTGAAAAAATAATACCATTAAAGGTTTGGTGATGGATGGAAAGAAGATTACAAACAATTTAGTGTTCTGTTCTTAACTCCAGTCAAGCATTTACCAAAAGAATTAAACTGGTTGAACTTTGAAAATCTAAATCAAATCTTGAAAGCATGAGTGTATTTTGCAAGCAATATGGAAAAAAGAGAGGGAGAAAGTACTTAAGAATAATCTTGTTCTTTGTATCCCCTCTCCCTTTAAGAGTATGTTTTTAAAGTAACACTCACTACCTTGAGGAGGAAAAATCTTGGTGTGTTACATTCTGGTTCTAAGATGCAAAAATTTCCCAAGAAGTGATTTTATTTCTCCTAGGAACTCACAACCCTCTTTAATAACTTCAAGGGACAAGTTAAACTTTTTCTAAAGGAGACCCATCTCAGCTGCACAGGACAAGCCACAGGAAAACACAGCAAGATCTTTTGCCACGTTTGTTTCACTCTCAGTTCTCTTTCTTTCTTTGTAGCTACCTCATCCCTGAACTCCCAACTGCAACAGCTCCAGCAGCTTCAGCAGCTCCAGCAGCAGCAGCAGCAGCAGCAGCAACAGCAGCAGCCACCTCCCCCACCACCAACCACCCAGCACCCGCAACCAGCCCCACAGGTGCCCTCCCAGCCCCAGCAGTCACAGCCCCAGTCCACTTCACCCCAGCAGCCACCACTTGCCTCCCAGCAGCTGCCAGCAACTCCATCTCAGCTGCAGCAGGCTTCTCAGCCACAGCAGCCTCAATCCCACTCTCACCCCCAGAGCCAGAACCAGCCATCACCAACCCAGCAGAGCTCAAGCCCGCCTCAGAAACCCAGTCAATCTCCAGGACATGGCCTTCCATCGCCGCTCACGCCTCCCAATCCTTACAGGTATGCTCTCCATCCAGCCCAGGTACACAGAGGACCTGCTACGGTGCTATGCCATCCCCAAAGGCAGAGGGCCAGCAACATTTAACATCCAGTTCTGCAGCGTCTAATTCAAATTGATCTCTTAGACATAGGCAAGAGGAAGCAAATAGCAAGCAGCTGGGGATGCATGTAAACGAAACAAATAGAGCTCCATTGATGTTGCCCTCCGAAGGATAAATGTTATCTCTTTCTTCCGTGAGAGGCCAGCACTGTAAGTGCACTTGTAGCCTGTAATAATTCCATTTTATGATACTTTTTGAAGGCAGCAAAGATAGCATCCAATTAAAATTATTACTAGCACACTTTTGTAGCTCCATAGAGGACTCCATCTACTGTCCACGAGGCATGGTGGTTATTTCTCTATATTATGAATACAACAGTGTCTTACCTTGAGTACTTTCTGCTCTTTTGTTTTTATTTTTCTAAAGACTCTCTGGGGTTAGGAGGGTAAAAAAATTTAGCCCCAGTCTTAAGTCCCAGATTCCAACCATTACTCCAAAGACTAACAAGTACTCTAAATTCATGCCAGAGCCTCAGCAAGTATGCATCTTTACAAAATAATAAAAGTAGTTATATATTTACCTTATTACTGTGAGGCTGGGGATGTCAAAAATAGACACTTCATCAGAGCCTGTCTTGTTTAATCACTTTAACTTATTATTTAGGAGTAAATTATAGTAACATTCAGGAATATATAACTTTAAACTTCAGGAAACCATTCTTAACTTAAATGCCATAAAATAAATTAGCTTTCAAATATGACTGTGATGTTAACACATCAGATATAGAAATTAATGGTTCAGTCAGGCCATTCATCCCTTAACTTACATGATGTTCTCCCCAGCATGATTCCAGATGACTTAGTGTACTTGTAGTAGTCCAGTGACAAAGTCCAAAATGACAACTCACCCCACTTCTTGAAGGTGGGTCTTAGTCCAGCCCTCCCCAACCCTGGGATAAAAATAGTGATGGGCATTTGTGCCTGCTGAACAGGATGATAAGCAAGACGGACACAGATTGGTGCACCGACAGAAGCAGGTGAATTAGGACTGACTTTGTCTGTTGCCCCATAGCTTTGTATTTTCAACTTGGATTCTCTGAGTAGTCCAAAGTTTTTCTGGAAATGAAAATTATTTTCCTGGGCACTTGGGCCAGATGTGGGACTGAAATGAACACAGCTAAAAACATCTTCACTGGACACTTGACATCCACTGTGAAAATAGATATAATCAAATGTACAAAATGCATGATTATAGCAACCTTAATGTTTTTAGCAAATAGAGTTCAACCTATAATTCCAAAGAATGACTTTAATGTTTTTGAAGAATAGTTAAATTAAGTGTACCTTTATAACATGTGATTAAACACTTCCTCTTTCCCAGGCACCAAAATAGGTAAAATTACCAAAGAAAAAAATTACCCTCCTCTGAGGGATGAAACTACTTAGCTCTGTTCCCAGTTGTTACCTCTAATCCAGCATTCTTTCCATTAACTAAAAGCTCTCTCGGAGCTCTGTGGACATCAACCTTCCCTGAATACTGGCAGCATCTCAGAAGTTTCAAAAGTTCTCTAAACAACTTCCCATGGAAATCAAGAGGGCTGTTTTGTTTTGTTTCATTTTGCAACAAATGAAGGCTCAGAGCCACGTCTCTTTCTTTATACCAATGAGAAAAATATTCCAATTTTTCACCAGTGGGGCTTTAACTTATAAACTTAATATATTCAGAGTATATTTAAATACAGCGTAAATACTACCCCAATTTCTGTGGATCCACCAAAAGAGTGACTTGGTACAAATTTTAAAAACATTAGTGAGTAGATACAGAACTAATTTTTAGTAAGTCTTATGTCAATAGGAATAAAAGGATGTTTTTCCTTTACTACAGTCATGTGCAAGTATAAAAGAAATGGAGAATTTAATGATTTAAAATTGTTTTCAACACTAGTTGCAGGGTTTTTGAGTTTGTGGAACATGGAATGTTTGAACTTTTTAAAAAGAAGCTATTTAAAAGGAACCATAATGATTCTTTACTCTCAAAGGTAATGAATGATCTTTATGAGCTAAAATAAAATATTTTGTTTGAAAATTATTAAGGGAATAAAGATCAACTACCTTCATATATGGCAGGTTTAATTTCAATTCTTCATATTCATGTGAGCTTTATCTTTTTACATTATTCAAAATCCATCTGAGAAATGTTAGTTTAGAACTATGCAACATTAATGATTAGGAAAGCCAACACATCAGAAGATTTTTTTTTTGCTTAAAATTTTTTTGAAGGATAACAGTTATTTCTATAGTTGTACAGATACTGTTGTCTCTTCAGGAAAAAATAATAAATGAACGTCGGTTGCGAAGATATATTTGGGTGAAGTCATTTCTCAAAATGAAAAAAAAATTAGTGGTGCTAGCAGGTAGTAACACACTAGACAAAAATACCCCAAATAGCTCTTGTCAGGTTTTTCTTTAAAATTGCAGTATAATTTTATTTGACTCTTTTACTCAATTCCATGAAATGGATTGCATTTTACAAAACCAGGTTGTTGTTTCAAGACAGATATGAGTCTAAGTATTATCCCTTCAGAGAAGTCCAAGAAGGAATAGCTTTGTTTATTAATTTTGATCACTCAGGATTATAGGAGACCTGGGGGGTCTAGAATGAATACCAGAAACTGGCCCCTGCAGATCTGTCTGTCTGTAGGTCCTCCACTGAGACTTAAGATCTGCCCACTCATAGCTTCCTACTTTCCCAGGAGGCATGAGGAAAGAAGTTTGAAACTGAAAATGTAAGCCCAGAGGTCTTCAGGAGCCAGGCAGTCAGTATAAATCAGTAGATGTGGATGTAAAACCCAAAAATCAAGCAAAATGCACCTGTGAGTTGAATTTCACTCTTAGATTCAAGGTGGATATATTCTTTATTCTTGCCCTAACCCATGGGCTAGAGACTATGCCAGTGTCAAACACCAGAAATCTAGAATATGTTGGAGAGAAACAAATCAGAAACAATAAGTAGAAGAAACCTTTTGTGGAGAAAGACATGATCTGATCATTCCTGGATAGAAAAAACAACCAATGATCTAAATTTAATCTGAAAAAAGACCCTTTAAGGATAAAAACGGAAAAATAAATGCTTCCTTTATACCATCTTTAAGGTGGTTTTTTCTGTGAATGTTCTTTGGAAGTTTTTATTTGCACTAAGGACATGCTGAGCATTTTGTAAAAGCTCTAATGTGTGCATATTTCTCCAGAATAGTCTGAAGATGGAGTGGGGGTTAGAACCCAGTCGTGGTGTCCAGAGAAGAGTTCTGCTTGAGGGTTGGAGAGCTCCTTCTAGTTCTGACCCTGCCACCAAATAAATGACTTTGAACAAGTCACAGTAGCTCTCTGGACATCATTTTTCTATTCTACTAAATGTTCTAAGGTCTTTTTTGGGGCCTATGCTTCTGTGACCTAAATGTTGGCAGGCATCTGGAATTTTATTCGCTATAGAAAACTGGAAGGTCTTGAAGATGCTCAGAGTATTCTTCAAGGTCAGGTGAATTTCTTCCCACTCAGCTGGATGGCAAAGTGGAAAGAGAGTCGGGGACAAACATAAGTGGTATAATGATAGCAGAAGCAGATTTTATCTTAGCCAGAGAGTCCAAATTAAAGTCAAGTTTTATCCTCAGAGAGCCACCACTATAAGCTCTGGTCTCAGATTGTTTTCCACACCTATACATTAGAGAAGCTTAAGAAACTTAATGCTGCATTTAACCTTCACCTTCTGCATACAGTCTTGCATGGCAGGAAGTAGGATAATCTTTTCCTTTGCTTGTTGTATTGTACATTTTAATGAATAACAGAGGGACAGAAAGAGCTCTGAGGAAACAGGAGAAGAAAACTATCTGGCTTGTATGAAGAATGAAGATCATGGTCACCTCCTCAGAGGTGAAGGTGCTCAGGAGATGGTGTAAAATGCACTCTCAGATGCGTGCATCTGCTCGTGTTAAGGTTTACTTCCCACTCAGGCTAGTGCATTAAAGCTGTATCAGACTTCCACCCCTGTTCCATAGCGGGCACAGCCTTCTAATCTTCACTTAGGTTGTTTTCCCACTAACAAACCTAGCCCTAAGTTCCAAAGTATATATGTGATGGGAAAGGTGTTATATTATCACTTTTTAAAATAAAGAGCCCAAACTGTTGAGAAGTAGATCTCCATGACTTTCACATCCCCTTGAAAGCAAATAGTGTCTAATCATGGGTCCCTCCTCTACCATAGAAAAGGACCAGTTTCCTCAGGCAAACTGCCTCCCCTTACCTATTAGTCTTGATCAGCATAGCACAATATTAGTCAAGGCTCTGTGGATCTATGATTTTTTCACTCATAAAGGGAGAGAGTAAAATTAAATGCTTTCTGGAACTCCTTTAGGTTTTTGGAGTTTTATGCTATAAATCACTAAAGGTATGTAGTGCTTGTTGACCTATGCACATACACTCATTTAACTCCTTGTGCAGTGGTTGCAAATTCTAACAGAATTCAGACATCTTTACACTCACACAGAGTTGAATCACTTGCAGAATTCTCCTAGCTGGGACCAATACTAAGGTGAGGCTATGAGGCTCTCATCTCAGAAGCAGAATTTAAGGGTGCACCCAGAATCACACTAATCAGGATAAGAATATTTTATTGCAATATTTTGATGCTGAAAATGAATGGCAAAAATCTATAATCAACAAAATCAATTTTAAAATGCAGGATCAACAGCCGTTTTGTGCTGTATAGAGTCTGAGGGAAAAGGAAAAATATCAACATATTACTGTATGTTTATATTTCATTGATCATCAATTTAAAGCATTCAATTAAAATGTTAATCACCTTGATCTCTGTGTTTTTGGACATATCCTAAACTTTGTGCCTGAGATGTCTGCTTACCCTCATCCCCTCAAGTTTAGCTACCAGTTGTGTAAACAATATAGTGAG